TCACATGATTATCACACCCATATCACATGATTACACCAAAAATTTAACTTATCAACCAAAATGATAACCCAAGTGATGTATAACGGTGATTATCACACCCCTATCACATGATTATCACACTCATATACATGATTATCACACCTAGTATAATCCTAACCTATCGAAACCATTCGAAATCGTTGTGATAATGTCTAACATAACCAATTGAAACCATGATCAAATCGAATGACATTGATATCACATGAGTATTACAACTAATCGATTAAAAACTTGTTCGAAACGAGTAATTTTGAAAGATACCTTGAATAAACTTCTTCTTGTTGTCTGCTTGTTGCATGCAATGGCTTCTCGATCAGGGTTCTTGGTCGATTAGGGTTGCTTGTTCTTTGTCGATCACCGTCAATCAAGGTTTGCTTCGGTCAGTTGTTTTGCGATTTGAAGTTATGAGTCTCCTTAAATTCTTAACCGTTTACTAGATAATGATAAAGTTAATGAAAATAATGATCGTGTTTAAAAGATTTGATGATATCATTTCCATTATTACCCTTTTAATTTTAATTTTTTTTAATCTTTTTCAATTTTAATTTTAAAAATCTTTTAATTTTATTTTTTATCACAATATGAGGTTATTGGGTTGTTCTCGCATTCTCGTAAATCACAAGGGTTCTCGTTTGAACCCTTCCCTATATATATATATATGTGTGTGTGTGTGTGTGTGTGTGTATTAATTTATAGATTAAAAAGTTATGAAAAAAAGATATATAACATCTATTTATAAATATTATTTGCAAGTTTATTTATAAAGATTAGATTATAAAGAATGGTTGCTAATCACACACTTATTACCCCAAAATAAAGAAAAGTTTGTCGAAAACTTTGATTTAATTTTTTGACATACAAAAATATACTTTTTTTTCGTTTTAATATAAATGTCCATGATAGAGGGTACACACTCTTAAGAATGTATAATTATTACGTTTTTTTAAATAATTAATGACATTTTTATCCTTAATAATAGATAGTTTAGGTAATGTATTTTTATATCTAAAGGTAATTAATTAACAATAAAAAAAACTAAGTATACCAACAAATGATATGTTATGTCTGATAAACTAATTGATGAGTTAATTGTTTACTGATAATCATGTTTAACAAAAATTAAGTAATAAGTTAATTGACTAAAGTAAAACGGTCTGAAATAATATATTAAAATTAATATGTTCGCACACTCATGTATTGTTGGCCTTAAAACCTTAAAAACCCTCATAATATACGTATGAGGAGCTCTTTCTTAGAAATAAGAAAATAATTTATGACTATAGAACTCGCATGTAATACTTATTGTTAAATGAATGATATTAAGCATAAGACGTCACTTTTAGTCATAGTACCGGAGTATGATGGATTATGGGTACGGAAGTTGATTTAATTACCTTGTGAGAAGATTTATATGATTTGGATTTAGGCATTGTGATCATTATGTAACTTCCAAACCTATCTTCTTATTTCCACTCGGAAATAGGCATTGAGATCATTATATAATTTCCGAGGTAAAGAGCTTAAAATCACGACCGACTACATGACTTGTTAGGTTGATGTCAATGGTTTATAACTTGTAAGTGATGCTCTGAAACATTGATCTATGACTTACTTTGTGTTCCGTCACAATCAACGGTAAATCGGGTCTCCCCCGTCATCTTCGGATGTTTTGACTCATCCACGAATTACTTGGACTTACGTTCCCTCTTTCACTGTCTAAAGTTGTGTTATCGATATTTTTTTATATATAATTGCTTTTTTAAATAAAAAGGTTTTATAGTCACTCTTACTCTATTAATTGAACTTACTAGGCGTAAGCCTAACACTCCTTCTTGATATGACTTGCTTATCAGGTTCCTTTAGCGGAGGTGTATCAAAGGGTTGAGAAGAAGGTAGTTCGTTAAAGTCCTTTCTTTTTGGAGAAAAAGTACTTGATGCTTCGAGCGTTACTAGTTGGTCGATTTCGTATTTTTGGAGTTGGTAGAAACACCCGTACTTAATCGAGGCATATAATTGTTTAGATTAATAGGTTGTTTTTTTATCGCCTCATTTGTCGTTTTGTAAACGCTCTACTATTCCCTGTTGTTGGGTGATTTTCTTTTAAACTCTATCTTTATTTTGTTTTGTTTTGTATTATCGGTTAAAATTATCTCCTTCCTCATTGTTTTCTTTTGGGAGTGTTACAATATTTAAATAAATAATAATAAAAAGATAAAGTTTTTAACTTTTATGTTT